TTCCTGGTGAACGCTCCCTACTTGTATTCCTACTGGAGCCCTTGGAAGGGCTGTGGCGGAACACAGGGAATGTGATTACATAGAGATGCAGAAAGGATGGATTATAAGGAGAATCCTTCATGCCAGGTGTCAGTCACAAAAATAATTACAGCCGTATTTTATTACAGGGATTAAATTGGCTTTGGATACGTTCCGAGTTGAAGTTTAGAGTGTGGAACACAACCTCAATTTCTAGATCAAAATTAAAGTGTTTACTGTGCATTCTAGGAGAAAAAAACAGCCTTTTGACCATCAACTGAAAACTGCAGTTGTGTTTCTTTTAAAGGAGATAATAACTTGCAAGTATTTTTCCTGGTGGGGGAAAAAGCTTCCCTTCCCGCCTCCCAGCTTCTCTGAAAACAAAGAATTGTGTAGTTCTTCAAGGGGAAAAGATGTATGCGATGAGCTTCGCGGGTGTTATGTTTTAAGCCTGCTGGGTAGATTTGATCCTTGTGTTGAATTTTTTTATTTCCCGATTTATAATGATTTTTACTTCCTATTTTTTTTGAAGGTACGTGTTGACAGTGGCATACAACAAGGAAGTGATATTAGCATTTATTATGATCCTATGATCTCAAAAGTAAGTTGATGATCACTTTTAAATATGCTGATGGTATGAAACAGTAATTTTATACACACGTCTTTTAAATGAGGGAGAGTATATTAAAGAATTGGTAAATCAGCAGTTTAAAGGTGCTAGGCATAGCATGCCTCAAGGGGATACTGAAAGAAGCGAAGGAAGGTGAAATTTAGTGTCACTTCTAAACAGTTTATCTTTTGACGTTGTATTTATTTGTCTTGCAGTTTTTGATTATTAAAATGATTCTGATTTAAACAGAAGCCATTACTTTCAGACTTAGGTGCTGCCAGTCTATTAATGTAACCTAGCCAGAATTAAAATTTCAAAAATTCTTGCTTCCAAAAAGAAGCAGTGAAAAAAATGTTTGATAATGTCTCTTAGTATTAGTTCTTATTCATCACTTATGTATCAGTAAAATTAAAATATGATGCTATACTCAAGAGTTCAGTTGTCAAAAAAAGTCACACTTAAAAATTCATACTTAAATCTTGCTTGGGCATTAGAAGTCAGAGTCAGTTAGATATTGAACTTTTGCTGTAATTTTCTGTGCACCTGGAGAAGAAAAGACAGCTTCTTTATATGCTTTAAGTTTTATGAAGGAAAAGTGATTTGATTCATGGAGTGTGTTAAGAGATCTTAGTTTTCTTTTGGTGTTTTAGAGAGCCTCTGAAGCACAGAAACAATGTGAGAAGTGTTTTTTTTTGACTGCAGAAGTTCTACAGATCACTTTTGTTTTAAATGCTATGCAAACTCTAGAGACAAACATTTCTAGGTAACTTAATTTTTTTCCCCCTTCTTTAGCTGATTACTTATGGCTCTAATAGAGCTGAAGCACTAAAAAGAATGGAAGAGGCTTTGGACAATTACGTAATTCGAGGTAACTACAGAAATTTGGGTTCCTAGTGTGATAGGCTGCTATCTGTTTCGAGCAAACAGCTTGAAAATGTAGTAATTAGCAAATTGAGTAAAGTTCCCGCTTCTTAAGTGCAAATTAAAACAGGAAAAGCTTGTGTTAATTAAGCTGAGAAGATACATCAAATCTAAAGAGACTTCATGGTTTTTCTCCATTGTTTTTGCTTGAATACTATGAGATAAATATTTAAATCATCTCTTTAAACTCATAAAGAGTTTTCACAGAATGGTAGCATGTAATTATTTTATTAGGTTGTAGAGGGAGGGAAAAATGCTGCTGCACTGTAAGAAATTTAAAGTAGTTGCCATTTTATAGCAGTTTAATACATTGATTACGGTCAAATAATATCACAATGCACTATTTGATTGCATTTTTATTTCTTACTTGCAAGAGAATTGATTAGGTTTGGGCAGATACAGGTGTAGGCTAGTGATCAGGGTGTGTTTCAACTCTTGCTGACTCTCTGTCTAGGAGGAGCAGCCGTTTTTCCAGCCTTTCCAAGCAGCAGGGGTGAATCAGCCCTGACCACTTCAGCTGCTTTTAAGGTTTAGAGAGGGAAGTCGTGGTGTGTGTAGGACAAAACTTTAGATCTTCCTCTGTGTCTCATGGAAAATGGGAAGGACAACTTACGATAAGGGAAGGAAAAATTGCATTTCTTGTGCTTTCTTTTAATGGAGGTGATAAGAGAAGGGAGATGTAATGTGGCAAAAATCTTCATTTTACCCCTTAACCGTGGATGTTTGGGGTAGTTATTTTATTCATCACTATTTTTTTTCAGTGTAGTTGAAGAACCAGGATATGTGTGAAAGCAACTCATGGTGGGTTTGCTGTCTTTGTTCCTTGTTTTGATGGATGGACAGGTTGTTCCAGGGTTTCAGATGGGAGAAAGATGTTGGAACACTTAATGAATTCCTCCCTTGAATGTCTGGGAGGAGGAGCAGGCCGGACCTCCTGTAGTAGACGACCATATGAGGCTTTCTGTAACACTTGGTTTGGCTTTAATGCTGCCTGCTGAATACTAGAGATGCCGTGTCAGACTAGAAAGGTATCTCTGCCTAGGGGAAAATGAGCATCTCTCTACCACAGTGTAGCTGGATAGGTGATAGGATTAGCCGTTGTAAATGAACTGCTAGCTCTGAAGTGGATTTATAGTGGTGCAACTTGAGCTGTAAGACTAAGGCAGTACAGTGTGCTGATGTAAACCCCTGCTGTATAACAGCTGAGTAAATTTATATGAGAGAATTTTATACCGCTATAGCTAGACTGATGTGAGGTGGGATTTGAGGTTATTTTTGCGGTACATTTTTTTCTTTTTTTTCTCTCTTTTTTTTTTTTTCCATAGAGACAGGCTGTAAATTCATACTCAGTTGTGTTAATAGCAAATGATGCTAGGAGGGTTATATTTAATGAGAATACTGGAATTGTGTGGTGCACTGTCTTTTATTGTGTACTATAATATGGGATAGAACCCGATTGTTGTTCTTGGGTGTTTTTACACAGATGTGCATGTGCCAAATAACAGTTCCACAGATATATAAATACTTAGAAGGGATGCGACATCTTACATCTGAAAATTACTAATTTGCATACTTGTTTTTTTTACAATCTTTTATTAGTATGCATGTATAGTGCATATATTTATGCATTTTATTAGTATGTATCTAAGTGTTCATATCTGGTATCTCTGTCATATTTTTACCTGTGAAAAAAATCTCTTAATCTATTAAAAAACATTGAAAGAGGTAATAAATTAACTATGCTTTTTTTTTTTTTTTTTGTATTACCAAGGACAAATTTTAATTTGCCACAGGTTTCAAGAGTAGATGAATTTCCAGAACACATTTTTAGTTGTGGTGGCCAGTGGTTTCCATTTGAAAACCAGCAGAGTTTTTGTTTAGTTTTACACAGCTGGTATTTTCTTCTCAGGGTTAATTTAAAATTGAACACATCCATGGGTGTTAAAGTATCTCTTCTCTTGCCAAGTGTGAATGATGTTTGGTAGAGCAGTTTGTAGAAACTGTCCTATCTGTAATGTTCTGAACTGCATTGACATGTGCAGAACGTCTCCTTGTTCAAAAGAGTTGTCTCTAATAGGTTCAAGTAAGCTTAACAGGTGTTGAAGTAGTAGTAATATATTAGTATTTGAATGGACAAAAGTAATAAAACATCAAAAAGGTAAAAGCAATTTAGTGTACTTTTTCCCTAAAATGACCATGCATGTTTTTGCTTTAAAAGTTGGGTGCTATGTAAAACAATATTAATGCACCTTGATCTTATGTGAAAGTGCCTCACAGGAAGTCTCGAGAACTGTGGCGTTAGTCGTAGTAAAAGATATGGAACAGTTATCTAGTTTTGAAGTTACTTGTTTTTATATTTGAATGAAGAGCCTCTACATAAGTATTTAGAGATCACCATAAGTGTTCTTGAATTGTCTGCTCCATATTCCTATTTCTGAACACAGCCCCTCCCACCCCCACAATTTCCTGAAGCAGCTTTTATGTTTGCTTTGTTTTAGAGATATTGTGGTTTTTCCCTGTAAGTAATAAGTCTCTTCTGAGTTACAAAGCATTTAGATCAGCAATGCCAGCTTAAGGCAGTGTCAGTTGTACTGATAAAACACACGGTGAGAATTTGGATTTAGATTCCCAAGAATTGCAGCATTTCTGGGAACACAAATGCTCGTTCACTCACATAGGGTGGGAATGGGATGGGGTGACTGGCTAACGGGTCAAGGACCATCTAATGGATAGCTTAGGGACTGCTAATGGAAGATGGAGTCTTTCCCATCACTTCTGTGTCACTAGTTCAAAGCAGGCAGAAGTTGGTAGGGACGTTTAGTCACTAGTATTTTGATGGTTGCTTGGTGACCTGCGTGAAATCAGTGGTCTTAATCCAGTTCCTAGAAGATGAATGTCCTCTTAGAAGAAATGCCACCATATAATGTCATTCACCGTGGTCCCAGCAGAGAGTCCAGGGAGTGAAGGGGCACAGTGACCCTTCAGGAGTTGACTCATCCAGCTCCACTGAGGCAAGGTGACAGTGTGAAGTGCAAGGACTTACCCTGCTACTCCTTGTCTACAGGTCGTGTGAGCAGAAATTCAGTTCCTACTCCCGTGGCTTTAGGATATCCAAGAGTTACCCCATTCCATTTTAGCTCCATTCCACTTACATGGAACAAGTGCTCAGGCTGCAGTCTTTATTGACTCGTTTTCTAGGACCAGATAGTACCTGGCCTTGGAGCCATGGTTCAGCTGTTCATCCCAGTTAAATCTGCCTGACAACATCACAAAGGAAATAAAAATTAAAGTGAAAAAAAAACCCCAATACTAATATTTGCAAAGAAAGCAGACGTACAATATTTGAGTAAATAATAATTGAAGCAGCGAAGACTATCTCATATACTGCCTGTAATAGCAGTATCTTGATTATAAATGCTCAATAAATCAAAGTGTGATATTTGCAACAATGCTGTGCTGTGAAAATACCTAGTATTTTATTACAGTTTGGGCTGGTGACAATTTGCACACACTGAAAGAAGAAATTCTACGTCTGTTCATTGGTAAATGCTAATGTGTGACTAACTCAAGATATATTGAATGTTGTCATGGGAATGTAATCTGCATCTTATTTGTTGTGTATTATCCACGTTGTTACTGGTGGGAGCAGATAAAAGTCTAGGATGTGTGATTCTTTGAGTGATTGGATTAAATGATTTCTTGATGTCTTTAACAGTCCAGATTATTCCGATAAGAGCCCACTCCAGTGAGAACTGATGTGAATTCAAAATTGCAGTTGAGACTTCTGAATGAGGAAGGGTCTAATTAGGTAACATTTTTATCCATAGGTCTTCCAGTATAGTTCAGGGATCATTAATGTTCAGAATCTAATCCAGATTTACCTCAAGCAGATACACTTTTCATTTTATCCAGTGGTTACTGGAGAATTTGTGAGTACTGAAAGGTTCAAGGTGTTGGTTGAGCACAGAGGTATTGTTGCTCGTTGGGATGCGGCATGAGTTGTTTCCTGTGAGCTTGCACTGTTTATGGTAGTTCAGCTTTCTCTGTTTTATGCTACATCTCTTCAGAAACTTAAAGTTTTGTTTCTTATTTTTAATTTCAACAATGAAAATAGATTATTGGAAGAATGCCATTCAGTGTGTCTACTGTATGTGTAAACATGATGTGTGATTTCCCTTTCCTCAGTTTTTCTAACATTTTACTATGTGTTTATAATGTAATTTGTACATGATATTAATTATTAAGAATAATCCTATTTTTTGAAAAGGTGTATGTATAAACCAACATGAAGTTCTGCAAAGTTTGTGTTGGAAAAATTATCTCTTTAAAGAAAAGAAATTGCCATATTTATGCAGCAGGTAGAGCTGATTATCAGTTCAGCAGAGGTCTGGTTGGCCAGATAGCTCATATCCTTGAGTGTGGAGATTCCTGTAATCTTGCCTTCACCTCTGCTTTTTGTCTTCCCTGCTGATTCAAATATAAAGCACTAACATGAAATTAACAGCCTTTGTGTAAAGTCAACAGTTCTCTGTGGAGATCCTGATTGCTGCAGGGAGAGAGGAATGTGCTAGAACATTTGGGTGAAAGAAGAGTAGAAAAAGAAGCAGCTGAGGAAAGAGTAAGCAGCAGATAGAGCAAAGAGAAGTAGAAATGTGGGGAAAATAAGGGAGATGCCAACTAGTGTGGGGTTGGAGGGTAAAATATTCCAGCATGGGGTAAAAGAGCCAGCATAGGAAACAGAAAAGTGTTAAATAGCTGTGGTGAATGCTTGAGGGGAAGGAGAATGTAGAAGTGAGCTCTCTAATGTGAATGGAGACCTGCCAGAACAGTGGCAGCAGAAACTATTGTCTGAGTTCTTGCAGCTGTAAACACACTAATTGGGAGGAAAAAGAGTACTGTGCTTAGTGTTGTGGAGAAGGCTTTGGCTTTCCAAGGAGAAGCACCCAA